TACATACATACATACATACATACATACATACATACATACATACATACCGATTGTCATTCCTTCGTAAGAGGAACATGCCAGAATTCTTCCTCTGAACATTATTAATGCAAAGTCACGATTAATAAACCTCCCCTAGTTAATCCGAACACACAAAGCCACCGGAAATTGCCCAAATTAAAAGTATTATTCGTGCCTAATTCCCCCCTAATCTTCTAGTTGGGCATCAGAAACCCCCCCCAGTTAATCCGAGCCCACAACCAGGTCAAATGTTCGAATTACTACTACTACTACTACTACTACTACTACTACTACTACTACTGCTACTCCTACTGCTCCTGCTGCTGCTCCTGCTCCTGCTCCTGCTCCTGCTCCTCCTGCTGCTGCTGCTGCTGCTAGCTACTGCTTCTGCTTCTGCTGCTACTTTTTGATGAATTCCGAAAGAATGTCTGGGCCTCAGGGCCTATAAGTTGCCTTACTAAAAAGCAATAAAAAACAATCATTTGACAAGCTCACAAAGGGTACCCCTCACAAGGGCCGGTCCCCCATCAATAATCTGCACATTATTCAGGGGAGGTGGACCTCATGAATGGTATCTCATACCTTCTTGACCTTGTTGACCTACCATGTGGGGGGGGGGTTTATTAATTAGGAGTCTGCATTAGCCACCACACCCAACCCTCCAACCCAACCTGACTGAACGACCGGAATGTGGGGTTGAATGTAAGTCGAAGTGAACGTCCTTAGCCCCACCCACCCCACCCCACCCCGTGTGTGCTCAGATGAGTTGTGCTTGAAACGTGTGTGTGTGTCCCCTCTGGATTCACGAGGTTCCGGTCGGAATGTTTTCTTTTCCTTTTCCGTGACAGCAGGGGGCCACCGGGGTCCCAGAGGAGCGGTGGCCAACGAAGACCTCCTCTGGGGCGCGTGTAAACGTACCTGCAGTTTTACCTGAGAAATTTAATCATGGGCCCTGCTTGTAGCTAGAACAAGACGTCCAGCCTTTGCATCGGTTCCTCATCGGCAGATGGGCATTGTCGCTTTGGATTTGTCGATTTGGAGTTGGAGGCCATGCAGGCTTTGAAGTGGTTTGGAACACCGTACTTTTACCTGTCCTGGCTTTCTTAGGTTTTCACTTAGGCTGGCGTGTGGCACCGCTGTCAAGTCAGTACGCAGTTCTATAAGTGTGTCTCTCCTAGTGAGAGCCCAGGGTGAGCCTGCAGAGTGCCCCCTGTGGACCCGTTGAACAGGGGTTTGTCTTCGTCCCTGCGCCCGGGACCAGAGTAGTCCGCAGCGGACAAAGCAGGCTTAGGCCAAAGTTATTTGCAAAGATTTGTCGGATTATTGCGTTCCAAGCTGGCTCATGCCTTTACGTGACCGTAGCGGTCGAAGCAGCCAGCCTTTTTTTGCACGGCATACGTGGCCGCAGCAGCCAAAGTTTGTTCAAGACCCGTTGGAGTCTGGCGGGACCTTAGTCCCCTTCCTCCCCCTACCCTCCCCTTCTTCTCTCTGTGCCTTTTTGGGGTACTCCTAATGTAACACTCGGGTATACCCCTCTCCTTGGTGTGTCCCTGGACGCTTGCGCGTAGCTGGGAACACCTGTTTTCGTCCTTTTTTCCTTTTCTCCTTTCCCTCTTTCTCATTCTCTTTTCTCTTTCTCTTTCTCTTTCTCTTTCTCTCTCTCTCTCTCGCTCTCCCTCTCTCTCTCTCTCTTTTTCTCTTTCTCTCTTTTTCTTTTTCCTTTCTCCCTCTTCCTTCTTTTTTGGGTGTCCCTGGATGCTTTCGTCATAGCTGGGAACCCTTCTCTTCTTCTCTTGGTGTGTCCTTGGACGCTTGTGTCGTAGCTGGGAACACCTTCTTTTCCTTTCCTTTCTTCTTTTTCTTTCTTCTCTTCTCTCCCTACCCCTCCCTGTCGGGACCTTAGAGTGGGACGCTACTAGGGGCTCCTGGCCTTACTACTAGGTGCAAGGACGCTACTAGGGATGAGATTCACCGTTTCTTGAAGAGAAGCCTGCCCTCGGGGAGGCGTGTGTGTGTCCCCTCTGCATTCACAAGGTTCCAGTCGGAATGTTTTCTTTTCCTTTTCCGTGACAGCAGGGGGCCACCGGGGTGCCAGAGGACTGCAGTTTTACCTGAAAAATTTCATCGTGGGCCCTGCTTGTAGCTAGAACAAGACGTCCAGCCTTTGCATCGGTTCCTCATCGGCAGATGTGCATTGTCGCTTTGGATTTGTCGATTTGGAGTTGGAGGCCATGCAGGCTTTGAAGTGGTTTGGAACACCGTACTTTTACCAGTCCTGGTTTTCTTAGGTTTTCACTTAGGCTGGCGTGTGGCACCGCTGTCAAGTCAGTACGCAGTTCTATAAGTGTGTGTGCGTGTGCGAATATGAGCTAATTCTGTGTGCGAATATGAGGTGCCTTGCAGGAGACCAGCACGGGCTGTGATCCGTGCCATTTTTCTATAACATCTTTGCAGACGCAATCAACAAAAATGGGCAGGGGATTGCCTTGTGGCCTGAATTTCTGCAGTGAGTGTTACTGTGGCTCAGGTCGCATTTTGCGTTGCCAATGCTGAGCAGGACTTTGAGGCAGACCGTCCCGTCGCGAGAGCTGGATGCATCAATAGAAATTGTAAACTCCAGTGTTGTGTAATCATCACCATAGTTGGTTTGCATATTGCGCATATTAGTATCATAGAAGTCCCAGCTGGTGTTGACCCGGGCTCAGCGTCGTTTCAGGTCATTCCAGTTGTTTGCCCTGTTTCTAAGCCCATGAGCACGACTATTTTCTTATGCAGGGTTGGAACTTGAGCCAACACCCGCACCCCCTGCATCCATCACTCATGCCCAGTTTTTCAGGGTAAATGACCTGACTAAAAGGCTGGACGCGGCCATATATCCAGACAAGTTCCAGGAAAATTTCCTCCCGAGAATTGCGCAACACATAGCCACTGTTCGAAGCTTTGTCATGTGTGGATTGACCACATGGCGAGGGGTGGAGAGTTGTGCAGTCAAATGTTGCTCAATGGCCTCCGGTGGGTGACATGTGCACTGAAAAATTGGGTTGGTCAAGTTGCAAAAGGAGGATTGGAAGGAGGAAATACTGGAAAATGCCCCAAGAATATCAATGAACGGGATTTTGTTTTGTTCATTGTGTTGACAAGCAAGACACTGTTGTGTGGTCAGTCTCCAAAACCTTGCTGCTGCTTCAAAGGCTAAGCTAGAGAGCCTTTGTGAGCCCACCCCCACACCACCCTGATTTTTCTCCAATCGCTCTGCCAGTGGCGTTTCACAACTGCCACAAGGACGGGTAGTTGAGCGGGACGCAGACTCCCGACAATGGCATGGGTTTGGAGTGGATGGTGGTCACGAACGGCCTTCAGCCACAGCCATACATACCGGTGATGCTGAATTATATATATATATAGACAGAGCCGAGCAACACCCCGAACCTGTTTGAAAGCAGGGTCCCACATTCAGTGGGGTTCTTGAACTGCAGAACCAGGGAGCAGCAGTTTTTGGTCAGAATGCTTTCCTGCAGCAGTAGGGGTCATCGTTCCTCCACCAAATGGCACTTGAGACAGTGAGATTTACCAATGTTCAAGCGGTACCAAGATCTTGAATGAGAGTGCTGGCTTTGCTTTTGCACATGCACACTTACTTGGGAGCCACCAGAAGAGTATCTCAACGCTCGCAGGAGACTCCCCCAGACTCCGTTTATATTCGTTTATCAAAGGGAGATTTGTTTACGCTGTTCATGCCTGCAATATTGTGTTTGGGATGGAATTGCTTGAGCTTAGGCCTGTGACGTTGTAGCTAATCTAAACCATGCAGAGGTCTCGAGCCAGCAGAAATGTCGCGATTCATAGCACTCGACTCCTGCAACCGTACAGAAACAGTCACAAACGAAGCCTGTACCTATCGTTGCCGAGATTTGGTTGAACAAAATTGATTCCGCTGAGACGTGCTGAAAAGGTACAGAATGCACAAGTCCAGAAATCAGGAGGTTTCCGATTTCTGGGTTGTGATTTATTACGATGGGACCAGGTCAGATGTTGCGATGGTACAGTCACGCAAGGTGTCCTGCATTTGGGAGAAGGATATGATTTATCTTCAATCTTTGGTGTGGTGAGACTGTTCATCATCAAATATTTGAGCTCTCAACCCTCACCCAGTGATTGTTTATTTTTGTTGATGCTGGAGTGGTTTGTCATGTCGCGATAGAAGTGTCAACCTGGCAATCGCATCAATCTTCGCTTTGGCTGCATTCCCAAACCCTTGGTACATCCTGCTGTTTGCTTTGAATCTTGAATGTATGGATGTGCATATATATATATATATAGTTATAAATAATACATATCATATCTATATATATATATACATGAACCATTGCAGGCAAAGCACTTTGGTTTCAGTTCGCCATTTAGTGGAAGGCTGGTTACCTTTCTTGGCACCTTGTGAACCATGTTGATTGACAAGAAGCCCTCACAGAAAAAATATCACCGCGTAAGCGAAAACATTGGTAGCGTAAGCATTGCGGAAGCCGACGCGTAAGCAAAGAAGGATTATAAGGCCAAGACTAGAGGGTTTCGACCACCGCTCAGTTGGATGCTTTACAGAAGCCTATTTGAGGCAATCTACTTACCAATGATCTCGGGTGAAACAAGCCAGAGTTGATGGCTGGACCAACTGAGCAACATTTGCAAGGACACACAAGTATACAAAGGTATCAGTGTATGCGCGCGGAATTTTAATGCGATGCTTTTCTACGTAGTTCCTTAATGATCGTACTTTATGTTGCCTGCAGGACGTACATACAGTTTTGCTATGGAGCTGCTGTGATCTTTGGCTTTCGACCATCATGCCCCTCGGTCTCGAGGGCAAGGCTGAAGAACGACAAGGATGCGTGGTCTTTCTCGATAAGCTGCTAGCCACTGGTTCCAAATACGAACTAAGCCTGAGTTGAACCTCATCAGAGGTCCTCTATGACATTCATGAGACATCATGAGGCTTAATCAAGCGGCTTACTTTTGATGCTTGATGAATAGGGACAGTCGGGACAGTGCTTTGAGTTTCGGGGCTCGAATGCAAATTGCAGATTCGAATCAGAACGGTACTTTCTTTTGACCAGCAGCCATGCAGCCAAACCAAACAAAGTAAACTTGAGAAGCAAGCTGTCTTTAAAGAGGGGCTCAAAGCGTCCCTTGTTAATTTTACAATCGAAGTACACTTCATGTCCACCAGTGTTTGTTCCGTGTATGCTTTTCTTGTTTGACTTAAGACAGATAGGAGAGATAACATTGATGTCCATCTAGAGGCAGAGGCAGGCAGAGGGGATTACAGACTTATTATATCCCTCGACCAAGATCAATTGATCTTCCTGATCGCTTGCACCGTCATTCACGTGATCTTCGTGACGAACTTGGCCTTCTATGATCAAGATCTGGAGTCTTTAGGCCTGGAGCAGCAGCTCTTTTGAGTCGGACATGAACGACGCCGCAGCAGAAACACACTGTCCTGCTCTGAACACAGTGTGTTGTTTATGTTTTTTGTCAGCAGGGCAGGATGTCATAAGAACTCTCCCGGGTTTACGATTGGTTATTAATTATAGTATGTGGTCCCCGTACACTGTCGTAATGGTGGGCGAGCTTGTCCAGTTGACATCCACAAAGATGTATCCGCGATGTTGTGCCATGTTGTGCCCTGCTCAGCAATTTCATCAGAACTCATATGACTGGGAGTCTACTTCGAGAACAAGTGATTTCATTGGTATTGAAATGCTGGACAAATGATGTTTGTTGTTTGTTTGACAGGACTATTGACATATTTGTGGCGTTTGTGGTGTGTACAGTACAGTGTACATGCATGGTGTGTTTGTTGCTGAAGAGATTGCTATATACTGTGTACTGCAAAATCAAGCCAACCAATCAAAGGGGATCAAGAGTCGCTTTGCCTTTCTATGCCTGGCTGGCAATCCCTGTCAAGACTCACTCTTTTTTCGTAAAGAGTCCAACCCAGTCAACAATGTTAGGTGGATGGTTTGTTGAAGTGTGACGCATTGAGGAGATTCGATGATGGGTGAGAGACAGTAGTATAATCTATCAGTCTCCATCTAAGACTCATCCGAGCTATACACGTTCGCCATCAGAGGGTTTGATCGGACCATCCAATAAAAAGAGGCTCCACACACAATCCGCTTCGGGTCAAAATGCAGGCATGCAATAGCCCTCGTTAGGAATCTCTGAGAACTTGTGATTGAATTCAGGAAAGATAGGCAACTAACACCTATGTCGCGGCAGAAGGAGTGTAGGTAGAAGCCAGAACCCAGCTGGGTGGCATGCTATTTGAGTTATTTGTTCATATTTATGCTTTCACATCCAATGCGACTTCCAACATCATATCCACTAGAATGCGTCTCCATACAAAGGGACACATCAACCAGTGGGTGCTTATGCAGAATAACTCATATTAATATAACTATACTAGACACATTAATGACTCGGAAGCCTACGCATTTCGTACTCTAATCTTCGGCCGATGGCTTGAATGGGAAAGCCCTGGTGCCCATTGGTGCCCTTGTTGCAGGTGGTCTTCCTGAAGGCCTAGTCACGGTCCGGGCACCAAGGGTCAAAGCGTGGATCCTCGTGACGTGGCGACGTGAGTTGGAGAGAAAAACAAGCTGGGGAGTGAATATGTAGTAGCTTCTTGTTCCTAGTGGTAATGTCAGGAGCTACTAGTAGCGTCCTTGCTACTCGTAGCGATGCACCTTGCTACTAGTAGGAATATATATATGCAGTATATGTTATATGTGTGTATGTTTGTGGGAGATATTCTACTTGATCCAGTGTTTGTCCAAGGGACCGAATGCCTCGAAAAGACCTGGTCTAATGAGTAAACTGAGTAAACATGAGATGTCAACATTAGATGCAGCGTGGCATGACAAAGTGCTTTGGGGGATTGATGGCCTGGAGCTGGGCATGGGTGAAACAAGCGTGATTTGGTAGAAGTAAAGGATTTGACTGCTCATCTAATGAACTTGGATTGTACCATGGGGGGGTGGCCAGTGCCCTGCCCGATTTAGGTCGTACAGTCATACAGAGTCATATAGAGTCATACACGTGTAAAAGTACTCGTGCCACTGCTTCAGTCTTTAGGTCATTGCCATCCCCATGCTTTACAAATAAGCATGACATACTGTAATCAGCGTGGATGCACAGGCGTTTCAATCGTTTCATGCAGATACCAGGACCATGCAAGAGGTCACCAATGGGCTACCACACATTTGAGTCTCATTAGGCACCTTTTGGAGGGTCTAGGTATACTTGTGCTGTGAGGGCCTGTGTTCAGCGTCATGCTATCGCAATGAGTTTTGGCCTGTGTTCAGCAGAAGAATCGGGTGCAACGGCAACGTTTTTTCCTTTGAAGGCTGCAAGGAGGACAGCTTCACTTGTGGTGAGATTGTCGTAGAGCCACTTTTTGAGGGATCGATGAATCTAGGTCATGTTGGCCTCAAGTGTAGGGGGCCAGGGTGAGAACTGGCCCACACCCATTGCAGGTCTGTAGCGAACAAAAACAGTTCCTTCCCTGCCATTTCCTTCGCTCACTTCAAAGTGCAATGTTCCTTCCCGCAAAGGAGTTGACCATCGAGTGCCTCCTGGGTTTCTTCTCCATTGCACGGGGCCTCTGAAAAGTGTCGATCAGCCGTTTTGATTCTCCCAACCAAACGACTGACGTGCCTGGTGAGTCTCAACATGACGAGTGGCTTCGAAGGGAATTGTTGGTGGCTTTGCTGGTGGTTTCAGATGGACAGATTGGATATGGCTCCCAATTGATTCCAATAGCTATAACAAAAGGATACCTTTTGTGCCACAATGCCTCAGATGTTACAGCGCTTGTCACAGACCATCACGAAACACATCCGATATATTCCGATGTATCTTAAACTTGTTTCACCACCACCCATGATGCCTGGATTTTCTTGGGTCCACTGACCGGGTCCACTTTTGATTGCCATATTAGTTTCTTCAAACTCCTTGTGACCATGTGTAACTTGATAATCAAAACTCCAGGCTGTACCTTTTCCAAGCTTAGCTGGAATGTTTGATAGAATGTCTCGGATTCCCGATTTTATGGTTGCTTTTCCTGTGGAGCAGCTGAGTTAGAGCCTATAGCGTTGCAAAGGCGCACCAAACCTGGCAGCTATATATTGTATAAGTTATGTACTACAAATGTTGGAACGATGGGAAGATAAGTTTCAGCATGCGCCAGCACTGGAAAACACCACACCGGGTCATGGTTGACAATTCACCATGACCATCTCGACAGATCGCCCGTAATTGATTTGGCACAACTGATTCCGAAACAAACTGAACTTCTGACAGACTGCTGACACCGCACTCCCAGTAGCCGTATTTTCCTAAGGAAGCTCTCAGCATGTTGATACACAGACAACAAACTCAATCAATGCCAAAAGCCAGAAAACGGAGCGACAACAGGTGAACTCTGATTCAGCTCATTTCAAACGAATTCACCACTTCCAAAAAGCATTTGCAAAAGCTTCATCCACGCAGGTAGATGGTGGCGACCCATTCGCCAGAAGCCCAACCACGGAAAGGCCCGATTCTGCCACAGGCACGAGGTCTATTTTTCAGGGATGGCATCAATTTGAAGCTGAATGCACTTATTCCAAAGAGCAGGGATTCCTTCAGGTGCTCGACATGGTCACCATAAGCCTGGAAAGCATTTTTCAATGAGAGCGAGCTTGCTTGTGGCCGCTCGAAGTGCACTCTTTACTGTATTCTCGGCAAGACCATTAATTGCCCAAGCGCATGAACTTTTGACCTTAAGCCCAAGCACTGGTGCTGGCTGCAAGGCACGACACAACAAGAGATTCTAAGCTATGCTCCACAAGGACCGGTAAAGCAAACGAAGCTTTGGCATCCACAAGTGACTGAGCTTTGTGACTGACAGCCGGACAATTCGATCCAAGTACATTTCCGCCCGACTGCTCTGGAAAGCCTGAAATGAACATAAATAAACCACATGCCTCAGGCCGATATAACCAGCACCTGGCCATGTAAACACCCAATATTTACAGAACAAAGATGAACAAAGTGATGGGATCGCCTTTTGTTCCAACACCAGGCAGCCGCACAAGTTCCACGGACGTCTTCCACAACGGATCAAGAGAACTCGGGCACAAACCAAAATGTCCAACAGCAGGCTTTCAAAATCCCCTCGCAATCAGACCCTTTTTTCGAACCGCTCCGGTCAGACCTTCGAGCCCTTCCAAGGCCGCGGGGATCTTGATGAATTCCACCTCCCTTTCGCTCTACTACTATCAGGCAGGGAGCATTTGGGAGGGAAACTGGGAATCCATTGGCTCACGTGAGTGTGATTTGTTATTTGTTCACACCATGAGCTTGAAGCTGGTGGGCGCTGATCAGCAGTTTCAAACAAAGTTGCAATGCGAGGCCTCCTGGGACCTTTTTGTTTGATTTGTTCCATCAGATCATGTCGTAGGGATAACAGACGGAACATTCACCATCATTGCCGTGCTTGGTTGAGTAATGCACGGCTGACATGTCGCTGAAAGTGTTTCATTGTTGTGGTTTGCCGATCTTGCTGGGTTAGATGGCTTCGTATGGTTGCCTGCCTAAGCACACATTTACCTTCAACTCGAAGAACGTTGCTTCAACTGTAAAGGGACATGATTCCTTCATCCTGTGATCAAACCTCATTTCGCTGCCTCATGGCTTGCTCAGGAGCAAAGCAAGCAAGAGTCCGAGGGATTTTCAAAGCTTTTGTCCCTTTCTTGCGCGCCTGGGCAGAACAAGACTTGAAAAGCGTCAAGCATGGGCTATCGCTCGTGCAATGTTCCTGCCTGAGCAATCCAGAAGATATGACCCAAATGGGCAGAGCAGATCCACTAATGAACCACAAGTTCTGAGGAAGTGTATGTATTGAAAAGATTGCTATATAATGCTATACTACCTCTCGCACATCGGTCCGCGTCGATCATGCCGGACACTCTGGTCCGAACATGGAAAATCCCCAGTGAAAACATGCAATCACCACTCGTTAAGCGGGATCGTCCAGGTTTCAAGACGACGATCAGCTCCAAGGCAAAACAGTTGAGCAAGCAAAGTGAGACCTTTGGTCGACACAAACGGAATTGCTCCTTCTATACAACCTTGGGGAAGGATTCTCCCACCAGCGCGAGGCTTTGTGGAGTTAAAAGTTCCTGGAAACGGTTGGGCATTGTGCTGCTTGTGCAGAAACAAAAGTGCTTCACGAATCATCTTGTACAGGTCTCTGAAAGTTTTGTGAGCCTGATCTCCAGGGATTCGATGGCCATCGGCATGGAAGGCCACAGCGAGCTCGCAAAACGACACCGATTCCTCTGGATGGCAAAGCCATTTCAAATTGCGCAAAAATTCAACAACAGCTTGCCATGCCGCACTCCCATACCGCCAAGACTTGGCTGAGCCAATATTGTTGGGAATCTTTGGCTTCCAGCTGAAGAGATGCTGCGAAGCATGCCAGTGCCATTGAGGATATAAAAGCTGCGGCTTGCTCTGAAGTAAGGCGATCAGGCAGCTCAGCAACATGCTCCTCATGGTCATCAGAATCAGCAGTTGTTGTCGGCAGCATCGCATGAAGCGTTGTGAGCCACTGCTGATGGCAGTATATAGCATGCTTTGCTCGTTGCTGAACACTGTGGTGCCAAATGCAGTCGCTTGCTCTTCTGTCAAAAGGGTGTCCGGGACACTTTCAAGCACATGCGCTGGGATCCAGCTGATTTTAAACGGGTCATGGTGCACTTCTCGCCTGGTACGCACCAACCGAGCAAAACTTCTCCACCAGGCTTGACAGAGCCATTGTACGTTGATAACCCCGGAAGCCAGAAAGGAAACAACCTGGGTTACTGCTGAATGGCAGTCTGAGTACACAACTGTAGGCCTTTCGGCAGCGAAAAATGGAAAATCGCCCATAGCTCCGTGACATATGAGCAGAGTGCCCAATGACTTACCATTCCTGTATCAACAATGCATCATCTGTGATTGCAAACGTTCCAACTGACAGCCAAAAGTTGTCACTATTGACGACAGATCCGTCTGTCCAGCGGGATTGTGTATGTCCATCAGCAAACTGATCAGCAGCAACAAGGCCATCTGAAGACTGATGCAATAAGCGACGCCGAGCAACAAACTTAGGGTGTTCGACGTGTCCAAGCATCTGGAAATTCGCCCCGAGCTGATGACCACCTGGTGCACCAATTTCCTCACGCAGAGTCGGACAGTCGATGGTGAGGTGATGCAAGGGTTCCTTAGTATTGTGACAAAAACGGCATTCGCGTGACTTAGCCCAACCAGTTGCAGCCATGCGATCATTGGTGAGCGTGGACCCTACGAGAACTGATTCAAATCTTGCTTTCGGCGGCAACTCACCAGCTAGTGCATGCATACAATACAGTGTGACAATTGATGATGAAAAACTCCACACGGTTTACAAAAATCTCTTCTCGGTGTGTTGATTGCACGCATATAACATGCATTCCTGCAAATGGCCTGCAATGCACGCCCCGCATCATGGGGGGAAAGTTCAAGAATACTAACAGGTGCAGACACAAAACATGAAAGGCACAAGCAATCATCCACAACAATTCCCAATGTTGCACAGGCAGTACGGAGCCTACTTGCAAGGGAGTGGGGGAGGCGGTCTGCATGTCGCATGGTTCTTTGCAACAGCGGAAATAAACATGGCATCAAGTGGCGTGAACGAATGGTCTCAATGACAATGCTATAGGCACATGCGAAGGTCGGCTCCGTTCTGTGTGGGGCTGACAAAATGGCTTGTACAAGCCATTTGGATCTCCACTTCGGGCGCCCAAACCATAGGCATCGCACGATGGCCTTTTGAATCTGGTCAAGCGCTTTCTTGGGGATACGAGAAATATGTGCTCCAAATGTAAGTCGAGGGATGACTTTCGCTCCAATCAAAAAGGATATTGTCTTTCGAGAAACGGGAAGGACTGCGATGGTTTGAGTGATTTTTCGGAAAAACCAAAGGGAGATTTGGCTGAAGTATAAAGTCTTGTACCCAAAACCTCAAACTCCGAAACCACAGTAAACTCAGGAAACGCACTTTTGACTTGTTTACGACCTTGACCATTGTTAGACCACAGCAAGGATTTGCCAGAATTTAACTTTTGGCCAGCAAGTGCATCCCAGACACCGGTGACCCGTACCACAGTCTGAAGATGATGCAAATTGAGAATGCGACACCACAGATACGCATCATCAATATACGCCCTGACCGAAATACCTGGCAGATTTTCAATGAGATGATACCAAACTTTATTATAAGCATTCATTGCAAGGATGGAAAAAGAACAGCCCTGCGCAACACCGTTCGCATGGGTGACAGGCACAGGAGACGTCCAACTCCGAAAAGCAAGGTGCTTATGAAGACCTTGATACAATCTCAAGAAAATACTGACTACATGTTTTGGGATGCCAAATGCAATGAACAAACAGGCAGCAAATTGTGGCACAAGTCGATCAAAGGATTTTGGACTTGTCCAATTTGATTCCAACAACTGTATCATTATCAAGGTTTGCTGAATCAAGCTCGAGGCGCACCTCATTGGAGAGGTTGGACATGGCCCGATGTTTGACACCTCCAATGATGGCAGTCGGAAACGCTTGCTGCTGCCATTGCGGCAGCTGCGCATAGCGAGCCCCAGTATACGCGAGCAAAAGTGGAGGAAGGATTATTATCAATCTCTTATTGATAGGGGAAGCAGGCCCCGGCTTGTTGAGAAGGACCTGCCTAGCAAACACTAATGCTCTTGGGAGGGGGTCACTAGATTCCTCAAGAGATTTGAAGAACTCTGCAAGGGCCTGAAAGCACGAGGGGTGAAGTGCTTGCAACTCTTGGGTGCGCCACCCATCAAGCCCTGGGGCTGCATGGGGTTTTCTCTTTTGGGCAACTTGATAAAGTTCTTTCGGTGAAAGTGGGGGAAGATGAGCTTGGATCTGCTTGTCACTTATATATGGCCATACCGTCTCCAGCATCTTAATGGGGTGCTCGGACAGGACATTCGCAGCAAAAATCTCATCCCAGCTGTTGTTAAGAGCTCCACTCTTATCAGTCACAAGGTTTGGACCCTGAGCATCCGATCTTGAAAAAAACCGATCCCGATTGGTTTTGGGGGATTGGTTTTTTTCGATCCTGGGGATTGGTTTTTCAAGGTTTGGGGATAGTTTTTGGTGATTGGTAAAAACCGATCCTGGGGATTGGTTTTTGGGGATAGGATTGGACATGACATGCACCTCACAGCAATCTTTAGGCTCAAGTACACATACAATTTTCCTTATCTTTTTTCCATATCCCTGGGGCTTGGAAGAGAGCCATGTCAGGAAGGGGTGGGAAGAACAGATCACCCATCCTTCCTGTAGACCAGGCAGCCTTGAATGCTGCTTTCAGGAGAGCAGACAGGATGCCTTTGATTTAGGCATCTACAAAAAGATAGGTAGAAAGCAAGCAGCCTCAGCCCAAGGGCTTGTGGAAAATGCCTGGTGGCTGAAAGCTTTGGTCCCCCTGAGCAATGGTGAAATCCTTCCAGGGCAGCTGAAGGAGGCACTGCTGATTTATAATGCATCCCACAATACATCGTGCTACAAAGCACACATCTGGGCAGGTGAAAACTGCAACCCACTTCACTACCATGCTGAATCATTGGAGGAGGTTGAGGACCAATGAGAACAAAAAGAGGCAAGCTACAATGAAAACTAGTCGACAAGTTGCCAGCCAGTTGGAAGAGTTGCTGATCTTGGAGCCAGGCTTGCAACAGAGCCAACCCTCCAATCATGATCCTGCCCAAGAGGCTTGCAAGAAAGCCACTGTTGCCTCCAATGATGAAGCTGCCCAAAAGCAAGAGGCTTGCAAAACAGCCACCAGTGACTCTGATGAAGATGATGGTTCTGAGGTCGAAGAAGTGTCTTTGGATGATCATGGCTTTCCCAAGATGCTGCAAACTCCAGAAATGAAGCGATCCATGGGGCCTAGCCCAGCAAAGGCTGCTACCAAAGCAAGCTTGCCATTGAAAAAGAGCAAGCCCACAAGCCACATGAAGGAATTGGAGGCAGCTGCTGCTGCAGCTGAAGCTTTGGCAGAAGAAACACTTGCCAAAGCCACAAAACCCAAGCTTTGGCAGAAGAAACACCTGCCAAAGCCACAAAGAAGCCTGCACAGAAAGTGAAGCAGAAGCCAGCTGCCTCTGCGCAGGTCAAGGTCCAGAAGAAGCCTGCAGCAGCTGCATCTGCAAAGAGGAGGCTTGCAACAGAGCCAGGTCTTTGTTCTTGGAGCAAAGTCAGGAAGGTGATTGCTTCAAAGCAATCATACCTGCAAGGTATGAAAGATGGAAAATGGATCTTGCTGATCAGCTGCACAGAGAACATGGGGGCCAGCCATCCAGAAGGCCATGCTGGTGTGATCAATGCCTTGGAGGCTCCAGCTGGTGAAAAAGGAATGACCAAGGCAAGGCTTCTGGAGCTTAGATCTGCAATGGTGGCTTGAAACAAAGCCAAGAAGTGTGTAGTGCAACATTTTTGCTGGCTTGAAACAGAGCCATTGCTTGACAGCTGCTCTTGGTAAGATGTAAAAATAGTACAGTATCCTTTGTTTTTGAATACGTGTGGGTCTTCATAGTTTTTTGTTGTAGCTGTATAAGTTCAAAAACTCTGATAGGTTATTTGTTTTGCTTTTTTGTGGCTTGAAGCAAAGCCATGCCATGGAGATGGGCTTGGAGCAA